CCGTATTATTCCTATGTTTTGGATGTTTAAAATGTTCCCTCTTCACACTTTTTTAAATAGATGTTAGGGTTTTGTTTTTGTTTTTTTTTTAAGTGATTGCAGTTTAAATAACTTTATTAGCCAAACATGAAGTTCACAACCCAGTATCACAATTCCTCCTAATTGTTTTTTTAACATTATTTTTCTATATGGAAATGATTTAAAATTTACCAAAAATTGGCAAGACTTAGAATGGTACGAAGAACATCAATACATCTTTTATCCAGATACACCTATTGTTTAGAGCTTACCATTTTTTAATCATTTGGTTGTTCATTTGCCCTCAACTCCCCTTTACTCTAGATCATTTCCATGTCTGCCTTTGTCTTTACGGCATTGATAGGACATGTTTTTGAAGAATGCAGTCTTTTGACCCCCCCACCCCCCACCCTTTGTAGAATGTTCCTCATTTGGAGTTTCCTCATTAGATTCAGGTTATTCATTCTCAGAATACTCCATCGTTGAAACTGCGTCATCAGAGTATCACATCTAGAGTCACAGAGTGTCTATCTGCTATTGGTGATGTCAGTTTTGGTCACCTGGTCAAGGTGTTTTTCAGTTTCTCCAATATATAGTTACTATTTTTTACCTGGTGTCTACTAAACAATCTGAGGAAGACTCGTTTTTAAGTCTATGTTAACATCACCATATTCCACCAGGATTTAGCAGCCTTTGGTGATTTTTCCAACTCCAGCATCCTGTGCTCTATTGTAAGCAGGAGCCCTCTGTCCCCATCCAGTCATTCGTCTATGCTTATCTATGTGCACTTTTATATTTACTATTGTTTTGGACTCTTGGTTGTCTATTTTTTCAGTGGCTTATAATTCATTACTTACTTTGGTGCTTAAATTGTCTTAAATTTGCTCAATGGGAGATCCTTCAGTCTGGCTCCTATGCCCTTGTGGCATCCGTTTTAATTTTTTTTTTTTTTTTTAGCACATTTTCCTAAATAAAAGATGTTCTAGGATCTAGAATTAGCGGTTTCTTCAAGAAACTCCTGGGGAGTGGTATTAGACACGTAGGTCTGGTTGCTAGGTGTCATCTCTTTCTAGGCCTGTTCAGACAGATTTAGGAAATGTGCCTGTACATACATAAACGTAATATGAATGCACCATGTACATTTCACAGGTACTTCTATACGCATCGTGTTTGATTTCAGAAACCATGAGTTCACACCGATAATTTCAGTTCCAGGCCATCCTCAGGGTTCTTTCTTGCTTTCTCCATTCCATATTTCTCTGTCTCTTTTTCTTCAGAATTTGGGCACTCCAAAAAGTTCATTTATTCACTCAGTCAATCCTGTAGTACATCTAAAATAGTACTGAGAATTGTTTTGCCCATGTCACTGTAAAAAACACTTAAAAGCTTGTTTGCAGTTCTCTCCCCACTTGTACTCTGCCCGATACTAAGGATATATAATTACATTCTGTGTTCATAAGTTACTTGGATTAATTCTTTTTCCCCTCTTTTACTGTGATTATGTTATTTATTTGAAATAAATCGGATTCATCTGTTTCAGTTTTTTTCCAGGTTTAAGGTTCCCCCAAACACACGCACACGTACTTCATATCCTTGTTGATTTAGTTTTTAAAATATATGGGATATTAGCATGCTTGTAAAAGTTAGAACTATACCAAAGGTATACTGAGAAGTATTACGGTCTCATACCCCTTCTGCCCCATTCTCCAGCCCCTTCATAGGTATCCAACTTCACTGTGTCCCCCCATGATTCTTTTTATGAAGAAAAGTAAGTATGTTTTCTTACCTCCTCCCCCCCCCCCCCACCCACCTTTTTTCTTACATTAAAGGTAGCCTGCATATAGAGAGACAAGCCTTTTGGCCCATGATGAACTTTCCTGGCACACAGGACTTGCAGTGCTAAAACTGGGAGGGCTGACAACTCTGTTTACTTGCTCTTTAAATTTTTTTTTGTTTACTGTTTATTTTTGAGAGAGACAGAGACAGAATGCGAGTGCATTAGGGGCAGAGTGAGGCAGACACAGAATCTGAAGCAGGCTCCAAGCTCCGAGCTGTCAGCACAGAGCCCGACGCGGGGCTCAAACTCACGAGCTGTGAGATCATGATCTTAGCCGAAGTCGGCTGCTCAACCAACTGAGCCACCCAGGCGCCCCAGTTTACTTGCTCTTTAAAAAACAAAACAAAAACTGTATTGATGCATACTGTACGTATTATAAAATTCACATATATATCTTGAAAGAATAACTTTGTTGAGGTATAATGTCACAAAATTAACTCATTTTAAAGAGTTGTGCAACCTGACCAAACTTCAGTTTTAGGGACATTTTCATCAGTCCAGTAAACTTTATCATGCCTGGTTACAGTTACTCTATGTTCCCACCACACCCTGCCTTCTCTCCTGTTCCAGGCTACCACTAGCTACTTTCTTTGTCTAGACTTACATTTCATATAAATAGAATCCTACACTATTCTCTTTTGAGTCTGGCTTTCTTTTAGTATAATATTTTTACGTTCAACCATGTCATTGCATATGTCAGCATTTCTATCAGTATTCTTAATGCTAAATAGCATTCCATCCTGTGGACTCATATTTTGTTTATTCTTTTAATAGTCAGTGGACATTTGAGTTGCTTCCTTTTTGGCCCTGATGCACAAGTGCTGCCAAGATCGTTCATGTGCAAGTCTGTTTGTCTTTGGTTTTCATTTCTTTGGGGTAAATACCTGAGACTGGAATTGTTGGGTGTGCGATTTAATTTATATTTAACTTTTTAAGAAACCATCATACTGTTTTCTAAGTGGCTATAGTGTTTTACATTCCCACCAGCAATGTATGAGGGTTCCTGTTTCTCCACATCCTTACCAACATTTGTTAATGACTAATTTTTATCACAGATGTTCTTGTAGATACAAAGTGTTATTTCATGTTTAAATTTGCATTTCGCTAATGACAAAGTTGAGCATCTTTTCATTTGCTTATTAGTTATTTCACATATATGCTCTTACAGACTTTGCTTTTTCACTTAGCATGGCCTGAAGTCACTCTATGTAAATTCATAAAGATTATCTTTCTCTTTCTCTGTCTCTCTCTTTATCTCTTTCTCTTTGTTGTGGCCTTGCATTCCATTGTGTGAGAGGTACATAGTTTTATCCAATCAATCTGCAATGCTTGGGCATTCAGGGAGTTGTCAATATTTTGCAAAATTACAGATAATGTTACAGTGAATGATCTTATATATTTCTGTTTTGTTTGAAATATACCTTCAGGGTAGATTCCTAAAAGTGGGATTACTGAGTCAAAGGACATACGCATATGTACTTTTATTACGTATTGCCAAATTCTTTTCATAAAGG